ATATATATTATGTATTCTAATTTAATAGAGTCAATGGATACTATCCATTCGCTCCATTGATATTTTACAACGTTATCTCAAAGTTATAATTTAATTAAAAAATCCAATTTACCTAAATTCGTTTCTGCTTACAACATATCGATATATATTTTAATATATAGTATATAGCGATAGGCTGATTAAAAAAATTTTCATATGATGTACTTTATATGAAATGAGAGGTTCACATGATGGAGTCTGCATAACCAATTTGTTAAGACAATGTATCGAATCATCTTACGTAATATCTCAATAATTATCATGATCCTAATGCATGGATTCATAGTTTTATTATTGAAAATTTCATAATCTTCTAAAGATTACCAATAATTGGCAAAGATAAACAATAATTGGAATCATCCGTTGGATATTCGGATATTCGAATAATCATTTACATTCATAATAATTTTATTACTGTCCTCGTGCACTTATCATGACCGTTCCCAAGCTTTGGACTAAGCTAAAGTGTGCATTTAGGAAGTGCAAACCTTCTGCTCTCTCACGTGTGAGATTTTTACATCCTGGACTTATATGTGCATCCTCTATAAGTGCGTGCATGTGATTGATTTAAAAATTCAACTAACTAAATTATGGTTTTGGTTGATCAATGTCTCTTTAAATATTTTATTCACGTCATATCAGTATCAGTACAGGTTGAATCATGGAAAAGAATAAACTTGGATTGGATGAATACGGACATAGTGAAATATATTTCGAAAAATAGCTTGCTTCTTTTAATTGGATAAATTCTTCTTTAGTGTTAATATTCACATATAAATTCACGTTTGTTTCACGCTTGTTACGCCCAAATTTGATATAATTGTTTTATTTATGAAAGAATTTGTGAAATAAAATCTGTAAAATTTTTATTTCTTTTAGTGTTAGCTAAGATATACTAATAAAACGAAAAGTAAAGAAGAAACGCAAAAATTAAGCACAATCTTATACAATGAATTGGTGCGCCGAAATGAAGCACAGAAAAAGATCATTTTCAGATCACTTAAATGATTGCGTTTTTCTAGTTATAAAATTAGAAACAGCCAAAATTGGCAAATGTCCGGATACCCATTTTGAGTAAACGATTTTTGAGTACGTATTAATCTACGTACTAGATTTAATTCCCTATTTAGAAAATTATTAGGTCTTTATTTTATTTATTTTTTTTAAATTAATTAACTTTTTAACTGTGGTAAATTTAAAGATTAAACAAGAAATACATGAAAATTTAATCTTTGGTAGAAAGAAATAAAATTTGAGGAATGTTTGAAGGTTTCTCATTCGTCGGTAACGTATACCCTTATTCGTCTACGTAACTCTAATACAATTTTGTATTTTGTACATAACTTTTTTTTTTTTTAACCATATTTAATAATAAAGAGAGATTTGTGATTGAGTCGTGGTTATGGATTTGGTTTATCCATCGAATATGGTCAACTGACAGATTCAAAACTTTAGAGTGGAAACGGCTAAAAAATATCGAACTAAAGTCATTTATGACTTTATTAATGTTTATGATGCTACCTATGCAAGCTGTAAGTTTTATTCGATTTACCTAAAGAGTTATGATAATTATCAACGTATGCATTTATTATACTTTAGATCCTTGATGCAATATGGACTGTAATGAAATATGACGAAGGTAATTTAACGTTCGATCCAGAGTGTCCAGTTATTTCTAGCATCTAAAATAATATTAGCGATATTACATAACCAAAATTAGACAGCAATTGTTTTATTTTAATACATAGAAAAAAAAAGTTTATCGAATTTAACTTTTTTTTCATGGTATCGCTAGTACTATTTAAATGCTAGATCATATGCTTATACTTGTCTCTACTTATGAACTACTTATAAAAATTATTATAAATTATTTACAATAGGTTACATACCTTATCCTTTTGACGGTACCTGTCCGAAAGATGGAGGTATTATTGAAGAAGGTACCCTACTGATTCCAAAACCGTACCAATGTTGGTCTTCTACACATCTTGATATAAAAATGATCGCGGACTATATGTTTTGCATAATTTTTGCTTTCCAGACGTATGTATTTCGAAACTGTCATTTAAAATTTCGTTCAACAATATTTATTATTGTAATTACACTTATTTTTATGTAGAGGAACTTTGTTTCTTATACAATCTTTTTGGAGTTATATGGCTAGTAAATGGGGTGGAAAACCATTCATGAATTCATGGGAATTCCGTATTTATGTTGCATGGGGCCTCATATCCATCATAATTTTTCCAGGTACAAAATGGTTAATAGGAAAACTTTTATCAAATTCCAATTTCAATTATAACGTTGTTGAGGTAAAATATAATTATATGACGTATACACAATAGAGGCCGGCAAAAGTTTAAATTTTTAGGCCCGTGCAGGTCCCTAATACACAATATCTGTTAATACTAATGGTGAACGTTTTCAAAAATAGTGTGTACCTCAAATTATCTTTGTTATAGAACTTGTTTTTATTATCATAATTGGGGTTTGTATTATTATTATTATTGTTATTAGAAAAGTTATATTTATAACACCATGTTATATAACACCCTATTATTAAACTATATATTTACCCTAACCTAAAACCCTAACTCAGACCAATACAAACATTGATATAGATGTGATATAACGCCAGTGTTATGAATATAATTTTTGGTATTATTATTATAATTACTAAAAATTTATTGATTTAATGTTCTTCCCAGATAAGGAATCAACGAAAATTATTTATCCTCTTACGCTCAATTCAAAGTCAAAAATCTTCACAAGAAACTGTCTTACGAATCAAATATTTTATGGAAATGAACGCATTACTCATCCTAGGGGCGAGTGTAACTGGCCCCTGTATTTTCATAGTTGATATATATGCTATAATTGGTCCTTCTATGCGTTTTTCCAAATTTTTCACGGATTTATTAACATTACATATGAATCTTGGTTTCACGATCCTATACGTTACAATGATTTTAATTGTATATCCTCGATATTATATTACCGGATTATACGGAAGCAAAGCATTATCCGAAAAATCTTTGCAAAAAATTACCATCTCCGTGGATAAAACTATTGTAACTATAAAGAGACCATCTTCAAATTATTTGCCTCAATCTGCATCACAACCAAGTATGTACTACTTCATCTTTCTAATTCAATAGTACCTCAACTTGATCTAATCGCAATTTGAAATGTTTCACGTAATTTAGCATCTTTCTCAGCATTTAGCAATCATGACGATTTTGGATATCATTATTGGTACAAATCAACTCCAATTCCAACTATCAATAATGAGATGGCTCTTCAGAAATTTAACGCTTCTTACATTCCATCAAATAAATTTGCTCATAAATTTTAGTATTATTATCATTCGCCAGAATTTATCATTCTAAGGGTTTATGAAAAAATCTTTACCCTGATCTTTTAATGGCGGATATTTCATTAAAAGAAAAAAAATACCAATTGTATAATGTATATCACTATTACATAACGACGCGATATTAGAATGAGCCATAAATATTAATCAATTGGCTTGCCGGCTCAGTTTTAGCAAAGTTTTTCCTATAAGTTCCTAAAAAAAAAACTTCAGAATGGGTTTTTGGTATATTTTTATACTTTTTTTTAGGTTATATAAAACAAAAAAAAAAAACCTAATGAGAGTTTTATTGTAAGATACGAAATTACATTAATTTTCTAATATTTACGAACAATAATTATTTGAGATTAAAGCTAAAATTGGCCGAGTTCCTATTTAAATCGATTAAACTTATAATATTTTATTGATATTTTACTATTCTGTTAATTCATTATTAAGTATTGTCGGAAATGACACTGAAATGTTTGGGGTTTCTATTTGGATCCTTAAACTCTACTAACATCTCTATAAACCTAAATTATAACCCGTCTAACGTTATCAACATAATAAAAATTTTCGCTATCATACTAGGATTAGATTTTCACCAATTGATTAGTTAGGATAGAGGAAGATTTCGAATAATTAAAAATCAATACGTAGCACTTCATGTAGACAAACTCATTTAATGTGATATAAAATGTGACACAATATTCAAACAATTATAATACGAAAACTGTTTCAATATGAATAATAATCATAAAGTTTATAAAATACTAATTGTTTTATTCATAAAAATATATGGTTGAAAGCATTATACCATATTTTCGCGTAATAACGCCCATGCGCGCCCCAAATTAATGCGCACACATATAAAGAGTGGCTTCATCACTTAGTGTCAGTTAACAATTAGATATAGCAGGTGATGTCATAATATGCTAATACTATAAGGAATTTAATCAATGTATTTCAAATACTCCTATTGACAAATAACTATTATACTTAACAGTTAAATCAGATCGGGTAAGAAGAATCTATCGATTTAGTGTGGGCGTTAGGTTTAAGGAAAATTTTATCTTTGCTGCCCATGCGCGTACTTTAAATAACGTGTTATTACGCGAAAATACGGTATGTATTATATTTTTTAAATGTTCGAATAGCAAATAATATTTTAAGCAATGAATATTTAATCGGTAATCTAACTAGGATTTACTTATTTGTGCCGGTAATACAACCCAAAAATGGGATAGCTAAAGCCAGGTGCGTTCATATGTTTTTGATTATTTAACTAAAATTTAAGGGTTAGTTAGGAGACATGTTTTATAAGTAAAATTGTCTTCCCAAGACAGTTTAGACGACACTCTTTTATTGTATTCTTGCGTTTGTCACTTTTTCTTTGTTTTTGTCACGTCAGGCTGATCCGGAAAAGTCAAAATTGTACAACTTGATTGGCTGTTAGTCACTTGAGCGCGCCTGGATTTAGAATCTTTCCTAGCATTGGATTATGCGATGCGATCAGTGTTGGGTTTGCTTATAAGTCCAGTAAAATTGAACTGGAACTGGACTTATAGGTCCAGTGGTCCAGTTGAAAGTCCAGTGGTCCAGTTTATAAGTCCAGTAGAGCGGACTTTTGGTCCAGAGCCTAACACTGGATGCGATGCATTGCAAAAAAGCATCTAGGTCACGTGGATCAAATATGATTGGTAGATGTGATTTTTGATATACAATAGTTAAAGTGGTTAGGATTGGAGGTAATACAACCCAAAAAAGAAGCGTCTAAAGCCTAATTTTTCAAAACTAAATATACTAATTTTATTCTAGTTATTTAATTAATTTTTTTTTTAAAATAAATTTTAAATACTTTATAATTAGTTATTTTTTATTAAAAAAACATTTAAACTCTTTTTATTAATTCTTATTTTCAGAAATAAACAGAAACCAATATACAAAAAAAAACACAAATTAGATAAGTAACCATTTTTTGAACTCTATAAAAATACAAGTATTTTATCTAAACATTCACAGATCGAACAAATAAATAAAGGATGAATAATAGATAAATAACAGAAAAAAAAACTGCCATTATTCTATCCTATATCTGCCAAATAATGGCAGCATAACAGCAGAATAACAGTAAAATAACAGGAGGTTTGTCAATATGAGTAACATAATAGTAACATAATAGCAAAATAATAGAACAGTTCTATTATTTTACTTTTAGTTACAAAGATTAAAAGTAAAATAATGGAATTGTTCTATTATTTTGCTATTATGTTACTATTATGTTACTCATATTGACAAACCTTCTGTTATTTTACTGTTATCCTGCTATTATGCTGCTGTTATGCTGCCATTATTTGGCAAATATAGGGTAGAATAATGACAGTTTTTTTTTCTGTTATTTATCTATTATTTACCCTTTATTCATTTGTTTAAACTGTGATTAATATAAAAAATATTTTTATAATAAAGTTTTTATTTGTTTTTGTATTTTAAATAGGATTTTTTATTTATATTTTTGTTTTTTAGAGTTAATATATAAGTTTATATTCAGAGTTATATAAATTTATATATTAATTTATATTAAAAATAATTAATATAAAATTTTTTTAAAATTTATTTTTAATAAAATTTTTTTAAAAATATGATAACTTAATAAAATAAATAAGTTGTTAATTCTTCAAATAGTAGATTGTAAGTTCAAAATTTACTAATAGCAAAATTTAGATAATTATTTATGCAATACATTATATTATAACAATAATCAATTAGGATAAGATATCTGTAATTATAATTATATTAGCATGACTAGTAAGTTATAAGATATCTATATAGTTTTGGTTATATAAAAAGATGCAAACTTGGATGTGGCGACCTAGTGAAGTGGATAGGTTGTCAACCCTCAAGTGGCAGGTCTAAGGTTCAATTCCCACAGACGACAAATTTTGGAAATTATATCTGTGTTACGGTAACTGTCTCTTGCCGATCGGTTGGGTTTTGGGCATCTGTAATCTTAGGTACACCAAGTCGGGCCCCACCTGACATTGGGAGCTCAGGCATCTATGCTAAGTGTAACGTTACATGGTACATGTACATAGAGGAATGTAAAACTGGTGTCGTATAAGGCTTCAGGCAAACCTACGATAAGACCACTGGGCGTAGAAGGCTAAGAAACCGAAGAGACAGAAACTCACTTGGAAATTCCGAGTAAAGAGGTAGCACAAACTTTCGATAGTGCCATTGGACTGACGGAAGCCCTTGAAACACCTTCATAGGAACTGTTAGACAAAACCGGATGACAAAGATGTATAGAGGAGCACATGACCAACCAGGCCGCCGGAATCGCTGGAGGAAAAGGATACATAAGTATACCATACTGGGCCATCTGGATTGGGAGTCTGGGGATGTCCGTTGTTGGTTCCGAGTTGCGGCTAGTAGGAGATGATGGAGAAGAAGTCGGAAAAATGAGTACCAGGGTTTGGGTGAACTTTACAAGGTTAATAGCGGTTTAAGAGGTAACCCTGACTGCAAGTGTTGGCTTCGGTCATAGTGTCAAACTAGGTTAGTGGTAAAAGGGAATATGGCTCGCTCTGGTAGGTTTACCTCAAGGATAAAAATAATCTAAGGATTATAGTCCAATGGTCGAATGTGAATAGATCTGGGTCTGTGATCTGATGAAATTAATACTAGGGTTAGATCAGAGTGTTTAAATGGAACATCTAAGCAGGGGGTGTTAGGTACAGCAACTGATGGGGAACCCTCAGGCGGACTCCTTAAATAGGTAATATAGAAAAGTTACACATGTAGCCAGTTGTACACTTATCTAATAGTTCATTATAGATACATCTATATAAAACATGTACCCGCTATAAGTATTAATAAAAAGCTCAGACCAAAGAGGTCACCTTAATACCGAAAAAAAAAAAATAAAAAAATGAAACTAGTACTAAATTATACAAATCCAAGTTTTTGTATTATATAAATTTATAGAATTAAACAAACTAAAGTTTACTTGAAAAAATCCAAATAAAAAAGTAATACAAATTTTTAACAATACTATTGTAAAAATTAGACTTAAAAAAAGAATACTAATATAGAGAAATTAAACAGATAAAATTTTTAAATATGAGATATTACCAATTAAATCAACAAAATTCAAATTAAAAAAAAATTAAACTAAACTTAATATACTAAAAACAGATTACAGTCCTATTAGATTATTTGAATTAAAAAATTAAAATGTAAAAAGGATTTTTTAGATTATATACTCTAATTTTCTAACCAAATACTTAAATTAATTTGTTTTGCATAATTATTATATAATATATATTATATAATTTTTGTTAGTTATAAATTAGTAAATTTGGATTTTAACTATCTTAATAATTTTATTATAGATTTTTTTTATTTTAGAGATTTTATTAAAAAAATTTTTTTTTATAAATAATAATACAAAATCTTAAAAATAAAAATATATTTTAGAAAATATAGTAATCTAGTAAAGTAATCAGATTGTCAACTAGGATCTGTGTAAACTCTATAAGAGCATAGCAATTTAATGATTAGTTCTAATTACAGAGTTCACCAAGGTGACTATAAAAATTATAGACATATGATGATTGACAACAAATTAACCAATAATAAATAATAATTTATTGTAATATAACATAATTAGAAAAATTAAAAACAAATATTTACTTGTCAAAAATTTTTTTTATTTCATGAACTTGCATAAAAAACTAATTTTTATGCTCTAATAAAAAAAATTTTTTGAGCAATTTTACTATAAGAATTTTGTTCTAATCCTAACTTCAACTTTGACATTAATTCTAATTTTACTAAATATTATGTTATTTTGTCGATTATTATATGACTTGTACTTTTTGTGATTGCCCTGATGAACTTCTGATTACAAGTGTTGGTTCTGCTATAGCAATATTGGATTAGCTATAAAAATAAGTACAGAAAGCTCTAGAAGGTTTATTTTGAAGATAAAATAGTTCTAAAATTGAGATAATAATCTAGATATTTGGATATAACCTAATAAAGTTAAAACAGATTGCAGGTTCAAAGAATTTAAAGTAGAACACTCAAGCAGAAATATTAGACATGACAATTGGTAAGAAATCTTCAAATAGGCTTCTTAAATAGGTAATATAGAAAAGTTATATATGTAACCAATTGTATGCTCTTCTGTATGATTCACTGAATCACATTATCAAAAAAGTTATTAATAAAAGTCAAAAAAAACAAAAAGATTATCTTAATACCAAAAAAAAAACTTTAAAAAATTTATTTTTAAAGAACTTATTAAATTATTTTAAATATAAAAAACTTATAGATTTTATACTAATTAGTATTAAAGTTTTTAAAATTGTTTTAAGTATAAATAAAAAAAAAACTATAAATTGCAATTATTTTTTTTTTTCCTCTTAAACAGTCATGCTAGTGCTTTATTAAGATTTTGGAATTACATTTGCAATTATATAAATATCCTTAACTACCAAGCTTAACATCACCTAGCCATCCTAATAGTACCTAAGTGCAACCTGCTGCATTACTTCAAGCAGAAGTAAGCCACTCATTTGACTACTTAAAGTCCATAATGAAAGGGTCTTCTTCCTTTTATAACAAGCTCTAAAATTATTTTCTATGCTTCTTTTCTGATTTGTTTTTCTTTTTATTTTACTTTTTCTTTCTTTTCTTTTATAGCTTGCTGATTTGGTTTTCTTTTTTTACTTAGTGCTTTTTTTTCTTTTCCTTTTTCCTTTTTTTATTTTATTTTACCTGTTATACCTTTATTCTTTTTCTATTCATTAATCTTCTTACATTGAATTCTCTACACTTGTTCATAAAATGTATTCTAGACCATTCTTGCAATTATATTCATAAATTGCTACCTTAATTTTGTGCTTAGGAACTGTCTCAATCTGCCTTGTGTTTCTTTTGAAATAAGACCTTTAATTAGTACTTCTCTTATTTTAATTTCTTCTGCTTCTATCTTTCCAAAAAGCATTGTATATAATATATATAGAGGAACTCAAACTTTTTCTTCTTCCTTTAATCTCTTCCAAGCTGTTACAATAGTCACTTTTTGGATTCTTTTCTACAGGTTTCTTTGTCTTTTACATGCTGTTAAATGTGCCTGTATTTCTTTTGTTTTATCTTGACAAACTTGGCATTCTGTCATTATATATATCTCTGGTTTTCTTTTGTTAAGTTCTTCTAGGGTTGGAAGTTTATCTATTATGCACTTTATAAATACACTTCTTTTGATGCTACCTCTTCTTGTTGTGCAGTGTAGTCCTTTAAATGTCTTTAGTCTATTCCAAAAGTATATTTAATCATAAATCATAACTTCTATTTCTGATTCTAAGGCTCTAATTGTTTTCATTTCTTTTTATTTTACTTTTAACCTTGCATTCATTATTAATTTGTATAACAGTCTTGCTAGTATGTTAGTACATTTGTTTTCCTACTCTAAGCAGTACTCTATCTCTTCACAACTGACTTTTTCAACCTGTATTATCTTTTTACTTGTTGCATCTTTTTTTGCTAGATTATCAGCTTTATCATTCTTTCTATCTTTACTATGACTCTTAACTTTAACAAACTTTTAAGAATCTTATTTCTGCATACTTGTTTTAGACCTCTACTAATGTTTCTTATTGCTGCATTAC